GGCTGGAGCCTAAGAATTCGTGTTTCTGACATGCTCCCAGGCAATACTGTTGATGCTGGTCCTGGGACCATACCTGAGCTTTCTGCTCTAGCTAATGAAATCTGTTAGGAATAATCACAGAGTTTCGACAGTACTAAATGATGTATGACCCTAGCCAGCCATCCTCCCAATGTGGTTTCTCATAAAGATACACATAAAGGGATTGATGGGAAAAAGGCAATTTTATTATTTGGGCTTATATTCAAAACTCCAGATAGAGCTTTCTGTAAACTGGCCTGGAAGAAGATTGTGACCTTATATATGTCCATTTCCCTAAATGAGTCTTTTATTTCTTCAAGTTTTCTTAAGATCATTGCTCAGAATTCTTTTTCAGACATTNATTTTATTTTGTCAATATACAATGTGGTTGATTATTGTGGACCATTACTGAAACCTCCCTCTCTCCTCTCTCTCCCCCTCCCTCCCAACAACCTTATATCTGTTCACTTGTATCAACTTCAAGGAATTGTAATTGTTGTGTCTTCTCTCCCCCCCCAGTTTATTTGTGTACTTATTTATTTTTAGCTCCCACAAATAAGTGAGAACATGTGATATTTCTGTTATTACCATAGAGATAATTTTTTCAGTATGAGAATATTTCTGTTTAAATTTGTCAAAGTTTTATACAGATTTCTATGAACTTTTGACTGTGGTCTTTAACTTGTCCTCTAAAACTTGAAATTCTATGGAATTGATTCTTTTGTCTGATCTATTTCATAGGCTATTGAAAAGTATTGCCGAGTCAGTGGTGGATTTTCTGGAGTAAAGGATGTATATTCCTCTACTCCTACACATGATGATGTACAGCAGAGCTTCTTTCTTGCAGAAACGTTAAAGTAAGTAGATACCTTTTAAAATTGTTTTGTTCTGTGCTTGTTATGCTGTATAATCACTAGATGATGAATTATGACCATGATATGTTACACTAAATTGTATTGCAAGTATCTTTCTATATAATTGTGTCTGTAAATTTTTAGCTGCATATCAAGAAGAATGACTTAGACTACAAGGTACATATTTTATGAAATAAGTGTGTAGTACCTTTAAGTTATTTTGTTCTTAG